GTTTGTATTACTTTTGTGCAGTAACACTGTGATCACATTGCATTATAAAACAAAAAAAACTCCTGTAACTTTCCGGTCAGCAAAACAGCACAGACAGCTAACCACTTTGTAATTCTTTTTTTATTGGAAAGAAACTCGAACAGAGCTGGCTACAATGTTTTATCTCAAGCCCTGAAACTTCCGATGCATCGTGCGATTTATTTGTTTCACTCCACACCGGCACCGCCGCGCTCTCCGTCGCCGATTCATTGGGTTTTGCAGCATTTTGTGACCAAAACTTCCAAGCCGGAGCGGAGCGGGGCTGATCCCGGTGCTCCCACAGGCATTCCGCCGAGCCCCGGCAGCCTCGCCAGTAGCGGCGGAGCCGAGCCCGGCCACTCCCAGCCTCGGCAGCGGGACCGGCCGCCAGCACCGAGGCGCCACCGCCTTCCCGACCTGCCCAGGCAGCTGGCGGTGCGCGCCTCGGGAAGGGCGGCCGGACCCGCCAGGAGAGCCGCTCGGGGCCCGGGAGCACCGATCCCTGCGGCGGCGGGGGGCCGCCTGCCGCCTCCGCCCCCCCAGAGCTGGAGACCTGCCCCGTGCGGTTATCCCACGGCTCCCCGGTGCGGGCATCCCGTTCCCGCACGGCGGCCGCGCTCCCCTTTCCCGCACGGCGGCCGCGCGCCGCCGATCCTTTGTTCGGCGCCCCTCCCGGCGCGGCTGCGACTGCGGCACGGCGGCCCCGGAATCGGCACCTCTGCGGCGTGGCACCCACTTACCGCCTTACAAAGACCCGGCCCGCCGCCGGGAGGGAGGGAGGCGAGAGGGAGGGAGCGGGCTGGCTCTCCCATCCCATCCCGCCCCGTCCCGTCCCATCCCGTGCCGGCCCTGCCCTGGCCGGCGGCGCCGCGCCCCCCGCCCGTCTCCCATCCCCGCTCCCGCCTCCGCCACCCCCGCGCCCACCGCCGCTTTCGCGCCACGCGCCCCAGGGGCCGGCGCGGGGGCCAATAGGCGGCCGCGCCGCGGTGGCGGGCGGCGCTGGTAGGCGCAGGGCGCAGCCAATGGGAGGCGGCGCCGCCGCGCCGCTTTACTACGAGCGGCTATGGCCGCCCGCGGGGGCTGCGCGCCCCGGGCACGGCGGGAGGGACGGGCGGGCGGACAGACAGACGCGGGGGGGGGGGGGGGGGGGGGGGGGCGCGGCGGGGCCGGACCGGGCGGGTCAGCGCGGTTGTCCTGTCCTGTCCCGTCGTGGCGGGTGCCCGCCCCGCGAGGACCGGCGGCTCCGCGCCCGCGCCGCCCCGGCGGAGGCAGCGGCGGCGGCGCCCCCGCCGTCGTGGCGGCGGCCGCCCCGAGCCCGCGGGAAGCGCCCCCCGGGGCTGCCCGGCCCCCGCTGCCCATCGCGCCTCAGCCACAAACCCACGCGGCAGCCGTCCGTGGGCGGCTGTAACCTGAAAAAAAAAAAAAAAAGCCCAAAAAAGACATTTAATGGGAAATATTGGAGCTGCGGCCGGACCGACGTGCTACCCACCCACCGTGCGCCGACCCCGCGGGAGCCGGGGATTTTTAGCCTCGGGAAGGGGCAGGGAGGGAGCCCTGCCCTCCCCTGGCCGTGAAAGAGGAGGTGGAGGGACACGGCGGAGGCTCTCGGAGTCTCACCCGGGGGTGGGGAGAAGCACATGGTTGAGTTTTAATTCTAAACGGCAGAATGTCGTAAAAGCCCTTGCTAATTAAAGATTGGCTGTGCTTCCTTGTGTGCAATATTTATGTAAGTATTTTAACAACTTTTTGGCTTCTGTGGGCAATAAACACAAACAACTGAAATATAGACAAAAAAATATTTTTTTTTATAATTCTTTTTCTTACAGAAGTGAATCGAAAAATACATTAGTATGTGGGAATGCTCTGATGTGTGCTCACGCATTTGATTTGTGACTGCCAAAATAAATTACATCTCAAATTGCAAAGCTATATTCTCAATAATATTAACATTTGGGAGTGCCCCATTGGTCTGAACTGTGTTCATCTGTGCAGGGAAGTGGAGATTTGTCAGGAAGCATGAACAAGTTTTTGTTGTTGATTTGCCTTTTTTGGCATTCAAGATGTGGAATTACTCTTGAAACCACTAACCAACCCACACTTCTTAACAAACAAAGCTATACATTATTTAGATTTACAGAAAATATTTCAGCTTATTAGCAAGAGGTTTTTCAGAGTATCAAAAAAAAAAAAAAACAACAAAAAAAAGGGGGGGAATTGTTAATAAGTAAGGGTTTTTTTCCCCCAATCATCTGATTATAAAGCAGTTTATGATGTTATTGGACAAATAATGCATAGTGTTATCATGACCATTCAATCTTAATTTCTTAAAAAAATCTTCCAACAAAACAGATTATCAAACTAGAATATTAAATTAAATATAGGCACCCTGTTTAGCAATTTAAGAGGAAATACCACATAACAATATAGACCAACCATGTAGAAATGAGCTCATACAGACTGCCTTATAGATTCAGTACAAATCAAATTTATAAAGAATGCAATTATTCTGCAGAAACAGTGACTAATTCCTTTCACAAGTTTAACTAAGAATTCAGTAGTTCCAAGGGGGCTGTTTTTAACTTGGATAAGCGATTATTTATTTCAGCCAGATTATACAGACTGGGGTTATGAAATACAAATTCATTTATGAAAAAATTCTACATCCAACATGGAAAAGTCATAAACAGGTTAAATCTCTAGGAAAAAAAAATTCTCTCTATTCCCAAGATAATTATTTGCAAATTTTCTACAAAATGGAAGTTGTGATTAAATTCTGATTAGCGGAACACAAAACACTCGATTTCCTCAATCATAACCTGACAATTAAAAGTTCATTAAAATAACCCTGAGATTAAACAATGGATTGAAATTACAAATATTAGGTTTTTGGTCAGCCAACCGCTTGGATGCACACAACAGAAGGGCCGTATTTCCAACTTACTGCAGCATTCACCCAGCCCCTGACAATTTCACAATGGTCTGGGGCTTCAGCCCTCATGGTGAGCCATGTCTCCTTGCATCATCATACCACCACAAGCAAAATCTTCAGCAACTGACTCACCCCGCGAGCGCTGGGTACCACCACCGCCGCCGAGCTGCGGCGGCCGCAGCGCGGGTAACAAAAGCCTGACCCCAGCACGGCTTCCAAGGAGATTTAAATCACCCCTCTTTAATTGTATACTTGTTAGAAGTTTAGGCACAAAACTAGGAAGCGTTCCTCTTTACTACGGATTTCCAGACATACTACAGGACATGTGGAAATCCAGTCACTGCTCACTAATAAAAGTATTTAACCGTTTTCCATGGATATACCTATTAAAACGTACCACAAGAAGCCTACCACGGAATAAATGAAACCTTCGGCTAAAGTGCATTGAATTATTAAACAAAACCTACTAGATCGCTTTATTAAACACAGTGCTGGCTTTCATTTCCGTATCCTTTCTTCATCTTCAGGCAACGTTTTGTTTGCACTGGAAAGGCTCCACACCCCCAAACCCCTCCCCCACAAGCCCACCATTGTATCTGTACGAATGTGGAGAATTATGAATGGTTCCTTAGACCGGGCAGGGGGAGGAGGGGAGGAAAAGAGGGGGGTCGCCAAATCCCTTTGTGTGCCGTTACCAGCCGACGGCAACGGTGCCTTCGCGTTTCCCCCCGCACCGTCCACCATTGCCCAGATGGGCAGGGAGCGCGCCCCCCTCCCCGGGCCGGGCAGCTCCCTCGCCCTAGGACTCTCCTCTTCTTCATCATCCCCCAACTCTCCTCCACCCCTTTGTCTTTTTTTTTTTCTCTCCCCCTCTTTCTCCTCCTTTCCGTAAGGCTCAGTACAAGGGGCACCGCGAGTAATGCGGGATCATTACCATATGGGGCTCCTCCGGGGCTACAGGGACCCCCGCCCCCGCCCCGCAGCCCCCCAGCACGCAGCCGCGGCGGCGCTGCGCGGGAGCGGATCCCGCTCTCTCTCCCCCGCCGCCTCCCCCCACGCTCGCACCCCCTCTTTTTCCTCCCCCTCTTCCTCCTCCCCCCCAACCCATAGTGCCGGGGAGCGGGATCGCCCAGGCACGACCCCGATGAATAATCCCCACCGCCTGGCACGGCGGGGGAGGAGCGGGGCGGGGGGGGCGGGCATTGCGGTGCCTTTTCCCCTCCCTCCCTGGGATCACACCCCGCTCGCACGGGGGGAGGTGCGGCCGCCCAGCCGTTTTTGGGCGGAGGGGGCGCTCGGAACGGTCTCCCCCGGCGGAAGGGCAGAGGCGGCGCAGACCGGAGCCCACCCAACTCCGGTTTCCCCTTCCCCCGCCCTCTGGCCCTCTCTAAACTTGTCCTGTCCAGCCTCCCCCCACCCCTCTCCCCGTCCTTCACCCCAGCCCTCCTCCGTGAGTGTGTGTGCGCCCTATCCACTCGCTAATTGAAGAGCTGGGATTCCTCACGTGAGAAGTTGATTTGTAGTTTGAACACGTGGCTCATTCAAAAAGCCGGAATATTCAAGTAATTTTTTTCTCTCTCCCTCCGCCCTTCCCTCCCCCCTCCCCTTCTCTCTCTCTTTTTTTTTTTTATACGGAGAGGCGGCGCCTGCATGCACGTAGTGTGACATTTTCATAGTCCGCCTGCTGCTGCCAAAGGGGTTCGGGGGCAAGACAAAAAAAGTAGTTTTTTTTCCCCTCCCCTCCTCCTTTTCCTCTCCTCAGCCCGCCATCCGCGGCCCCGGCGCTGGGTGTTTCCCCCGCGCCCCCCATGCGCCCGGGTAGCACGGCAGGCACTTAGGGCTCCCGTTTGGCTACGCTTTTTTTTTTTTTTTTTTTTTTTTTTTTTTTTTTTTTTTTTTTTTTTACCCCTTGAGAGGGAGAGGGAGGGACACAAGCTGCAGATCTGATTTTTTTTTTTTCCTTCCTCTCCCTGTCCTCTCTCTCTCTCCCTCTCTCTCTCTCCTTCCTCCATCGCATTTTGTTTTATTTCCCCCTTCCTCCCCACCTCCTCTCGCAAGACGAGGGTTGCAGCCCGCGGTGCGCGCCTCCCCGAGCCGCCAGGAAGATGAACAAGCTCTACATCGGCAACCTCGGCGAGAACGTCAGCCCCCTCGACCTGGAAAGTCTCTTTAAGGACTCCAAGATCCCCTTCTCGGGCCAATTCCTGGTGAAGACGGGGTACGCCTTCGTGGACTGCCCCGACGAGAGCTGGGCCATGAAGGCCATCGAAGCACTTTCAGGTGAGCGGCTCCTTCCACCACCCCCACCCTCTCCCCGCAGCCCCGACGGCTCCCACCGCCCGCCTTCCTCCGCGGCGGCGGAGCGGCTGCAGCGGCGGGCTAGGACCCGCCGCCGGGCTGGAGGGGATGTTGGGGGGGGTCCCTGCCCCTTCCGCCTCCAGGTGAGGGGCGAACTGTTGTTTTCCGAGCGCGGCCGGAGCCGCCTGGCCTTCCCGCGGAGACTTTGCGCGGGGCTTGCGCTGCGGCGGCCCCCCGGGAGTGGCCGGGGACTGGGGCCGGGGAGGGGCGGGAGCCTGGGCCCACAGACCCGCGGCGCGGCAGCTCCCATGTTTTTCCAAGCCCCACGGCCAGCCCTGCCCGGCCAGGGGCCCTCGCTGCATTGGGGGGGGGGCGGTGAGTGCAGTGAGGCGGAGGCGGGCTGCGGGCGCGGAGCCCTGCGCGGAGCAGCGGCTGCACACACACGCCCCCCGGGCACAGCTGGACTCCCCCGCGGCCCCTCGGAGGGGCCGCCTCCCTCCTGAGCGGGCTGAGGTTCCCCTCGGTTCGGCGTAGGCCGCGGGCCTGGGGGCGAGCCGCCGAATTGCTCCAAACTTGGGAGGGGGGAGCCCTGCCTGCCCCCCCGCCCCGCGCTGCCCGGCTATTTATTTCGGTTTCTCTTCGCTGCTCTCACGCACCCATCACCGCCTCCAGCATTGCCGGCTCCTGGCCCCGACATCCTGTTTTTGTGTGCTTTAAAAAAAAAAAAAAAAAAAATATTTTCGCGTGAAGCGGGTCTGCGGAGGTCTGCCGGGAGAGGCTGCCTCGCAGGAGATGGGCTCAGGTCTGCCGGGAGAGGCTGCCTCGGAGGAGATGAGCTCGGGCTGCGCTCCGCTCCTCCTTTCGGCTCCCTTCCCGCCGCTTCCGAGCTGAAAACCGCCCGAAGTTGGCAGCGCGGGGGGCGGCGGAGACCCTGCTCCCCCTCCCCGAGATGGGGCAGAGCCCGGCTCCCACACACGGCGTTTCGCCGGCTGTTTGCAGCGCGGGGCGGGGGAAGGGGCCCCGCCGAGGGCAGCGCGGCTCCCCCCCGGCAGCGGCGCGGCCCCGGGCGCCGGGATGTGTCTCCTTGCCGGGTGCCGCGACCCCGCTCCGGCGGTGCCCGGGCTGCCGATGAATGGGCTAACGTGTTGCGCTCCCGTTCCCTGCCTCGCACCCCTGCGAGCCCGCTCCAAGAGACGGGGACGCACAGCCGCGCTCGAATATTTTCCCCTTTCTGTTTATCTCGGCAGGTAAAGTGGAGCTGCATGGGAAACTCATAGAAGTTGAACATTCGGTCCCGAAAAGACAAAGGTAATTTATTTTTATTTCCTACCCCCCTGCCCCTTGGTCTTAGTTACCCAGTGAGAAGCAATTTGAAAACTGCTTAGGTTTGTGTTTCTCTTCCCTGTAGATAAATGGACCGCTTTCTTAAAACCACAGGCGTGCACTCAGTGCTGTCCGAGAGGTTTTCTAGTATCACCCCATATATTTCTAATGTAGTGTCTTGGCCAGGCAGCAGTGGTACTATTTAATTTATTTAAAAAAAAATAATAAAAGCGCCTTTTTGTGGGAGAGGCAGGTTATTATGGTCGGATGACAAATGATTGTGAAGATTTTAAAATTTAAAGTTCTGTGAGAAGAGTTAAAATCTGTGCTAGCAGGAAATGAAATGTGGTGTTGTGAACTGTATAACGGGCAAGCATGTGAGCTCTGCTTCAGCAACAGAAAGCACCTTGTAAATATACTGGTGTATATATTTTTTTGATCCTGCCGTGTTGGAGTCTGCAGCATTTTATAGGCATGTAGTAGAAGTCTCATCTGTATTTGAGAGGATTTTATCATCGCTATTTTGAGTTGGTCTATAGAAGCAGCAGGAGAATGACTCCTTCCCAGTGAGGACAGGATTTATGCATCCTTAATTTCTAAACATACCTTTAATTTTTGTGAGACAGTAATTTTATTGGGCCTCGTGTAAAGAAGCAATCTTTGGAATAAAGCAGGGTAGTATTTTTATGCTGCCTATAGCAATTCAGCCTGCTTTCACAAATATTTAGATTATAGAAAACCTGCCGTGCACTAGAGAGTAAAAAAAAAAAAAGATCAAACTTTCCACGTGCTTGGTCCTGTACTCCATTATTCAATCTGGGAAATATGTCTGTCTGTGTAACTTTATTAAAAGGGGCTTCTACTATTTCAGAATTATTTTTTAAAACTACAGTGTTTTTAAGATAGTTGATTGGAAAAAATGATTAAGCTGTCTTGATGGGCATTGTATTTTGAGAATTAGAAGTTTGATCACTAAATAGTGTTAGAGGAGAGCTTCACTTGAGAAAGTATGGAGGATTTTTGCTCTAATTAAGGGAGGGGGCAAACTCTCTCTAGACTAATTCATAGCACGTGAATCTTCATGGTTTTATTTATTTGATACTTTTCATTGGAAATTAACGTGCTGTATGTGCTCTCATTTAATATGCAAGGTATATGGTTTGGATTTATAATAGCCTGTATTTCAGATATTTCGTATACAAAATTGTTGTAGATGAAATATATTTTTAGATTTAAGAAGAAAATACCATAAGCCATATAAGAATTGATAATTTCCTGTTAGTCTCAAATAAATTTACTGTCGTGCTTATTAATCTTAAACTTGCACAAACAGCAATCTATTTATGCTGTTGAAAAGAAATTCATTACACTCATATAAATATAAATTTAAAATCACTGGTTCTGCCCCAACTTTTTTTTTAATCATTGTTTAATGTCTTTACAAGTATTTTCCTCTTCTTTCAGCTGTCAGCTGAAATGGTGTAGAAGTCCATTCTTTGTGTTGGGTGGCATGTCCTCCTATTTGTCTGTGAATTAGCAATTATCAGAAACATTTATCTGCCTGTAACTTGTTGAAAATAATTCTGTACTGAACTTGAGCACTTTTGTAGGCATCCACTGCCCGCATATAGACATATTGAAAAAATTGCAAATGTAACTGTATCAGCATACCGGTGTTGCTTCTCCCAAAGCCCTTATTTGTTGAAACACTGTTTTATTGTGCAGTATCATGTTGGAATGTATTAGATAGAGTTCAGATTTAGACTGCTGTTTAACAGAAAATTAAATTGCATTTCTCATAACTGTACTTCCTTCCCCTTTGTTTCCGCTCCCCTTCTCCCAAAATCTAATATAGAAAGCCACTTAAAATTCATTCAGTGGCCTCCATATGTAGAAGTGACTCTCTGGTTCCTTTTATAGATGTCTAATATTTTTCTTTTTTGAGGGGGGTCAAAAACTTGGAGATTTTTTTTTTTTCCTTGTTTTCCTAAACATTGCTTACTGGGCGCATATTTAGAGTTAGTTACTAGTTACATGTGAAAGGATAGTTTTCAAATGTTGAGTATTGTTGGGGAAACTGGTTAATAAGGTGCTTTCAAAGTAACTTATTTTTACACAAGGGAAAGGTGTAGATGCAGCTGGGGTGGGGGGTGTTGCCCAGCAGGCCCACCCAGTGTGTTTTCATGCTGCAAGGCCAGGGAGTGCTTTCCAGAGAGCCCTGTGCACTCCAGCGTGCGAGATACGGTTAGAGAAGTGACGCCATTTAAAAAAAAAAAAAACCTAGATGTGTCAAGTCTGTCTTTCAGCATGAGGGTACGATTAATAGTTTGATCAAATGATTACTTCATAAGAGCAAAAGTTGTTTTGTAGTGCACTGAAATTATTCAATACATTGTATTGACCTCTGCTGCTGTGAGACTGCTTCATGGAGAGTCCTAGCTCCCCTCCTCACAGCCTCCTTCAACATGATAATTAGAAGAGTTTCTGGGTTTTTTTTGGTTAGGTTTGGTTTTTTTAATCAGAGCGTGTACGTAATTGCTCACAAAGGTAGTTTGTAGCCATCTCTGTAGGAAGATACCTGAGGCACACAGGAGGAAAGGGTAAGGGTTTGGTAATCCATATCCTTGTCACATAAAGGAAGGTCAAGAGGTGGTGTCAGCTAGGGTTGCCATAAAGTTGAGCTGAATCTAGAAGATGTGGAGTGTGCCTGGCTTGTTATTCGGGGCGAAATTTTTGGGCCCAGTAGTCACTGCATTCCAGCCCTTGCTGGATCTTCTGATTTGAAGTGGGCACACCCAGGTTTGAAAATTGCCTGCCTACATGCCGTGGAAGGAAGGAGAGAGCCTGTGTGTGGCTTTCTTCCTCCCTGCCCCCCTGGAAGCATTTAAAAACAGACAAGGGGATATGCTGTGGTTGAAAGAAGGGGCCTGGTCAAGGTTTCCTTGATGGAAGGGTGGGGAATTATTCTGGGGGAGGTGCGAAGTACTAAATAAGCTCGGAGTAGATTCCTGACTTACTATTGAAATCTCAAGGGAATGCCAAAGGAATGCAGCATTTCTGCATTCAGACCCCTCAGTGTGGAGGAAGGCTATTGCAATATTTAAAGGTTTAGGTCACTTCGTGCAAAAGTTAGAGGAGGCATTGTAATGATTTTGACTGCTAGTCGCGCTCTGAGAGGGAAGGCAGGGCACTGTTAGTCACATTCACTACTTAGATGAGTTTTCTCCTTGCAAAGCAGCAGTGCGGGAGGATGTTGGCAGCCCATGGCGTACGTGGAACTTGTGGTGCAAGGCTTTGGGTACTACCTCGCTGCAATCCAAGAGCAGCTGGTATCTCACAAGGCGATGTAGGCTGCAATCTGATTATTCAAATAGCCCTGATGTCACTTGTGCGCAATGAGGGGGGAGGGCAGGCGCTAACTCTGGGCACCTGGAGGCTGCCCCAGGCACACCCCCTGGCTCTGGCTTCCATGTCCAGGTGGGCTTCCCACCCAGACCTGGTCCCCTATGCCTGCTACTGGGGCCTTCAGGTACCTAAAATGCTCACAAACACCTCAATTGTGGTAATGACGAGGTGTTTTTCCAATTAGAAGGCTAATTATTTTTCTTCCCCACCTCGAGGGCTCCTTGTTGAGAAAATAGATTCACTATGTCTCTTCTGGGGAGTCTGTTTGGGAAGGGAGCAGAAGAACCAGGTAACAAAGGTGTACCCTGTAGGTAATGCTGCTATGGGGAGAGCAACAACTTTCCAGCTGTGCTTCATCTCTGATGCAGAGGTGTCTGAAGGCTGATTTAAGGAAAATAGGTCTCAAATCCCCCTCATGCAGCCATCTCCGTTCCAGGGGCGAGCAGTGGATGGAAACTGGATTGTGTTGGTGATTTTCAGTATAATGAGGATTTGTATCTTGCGTGCACAAGGTGGTGGGAAATGGTTTGGTGATGCTAAGGTATATGTGGTGTGTGCAATGGTCACAGTTCATAAAAAAAAATAATTTAGTGGCATTGATTTGTAGTTTCGCTTCTGTAAATATCAAGTAGGGAGAAACATGCTCAAAGTAAGGACACATGATAGAAAATGTAATTTATTAGCCATATTTGTTCTCTTTTTCTGTGCCCAAACTTAGAATATTTGTTGAGAGCGAAGGGCCAAAACTTCACCTAGTGATTTAAGGTTTTTATTCTCTGTTTCCACATTTATTTTTGCAGATGCAAACAAAATTTTTTTGTTTGATCTGTGAAAGCTTACAATTAGAGTGGAAACACTAATTGTGGTGATTCCTATACAGATGAGTTGTTATGGCAAGAACAGATAATTCTTCACTAACCATGTTAGCTGTTACATTGTTGGAATTTTAATTTTTATTGCTCCTCTTACTGTTTGATCATTAATAAAAAAAAATCCCTTCTTGTTGCAGTTCTTAAAAATCAGCTGGAACACATGAAACACAGCTCTAAATGCATATCCTGAAGGGTTAGTCCTGTTCTCGTTTTGCTTCCTTCCTTTTATGGAAGGTACCCTGAGAGCATACTTGTAGTGGACCTTAAATTGTGCATAGATATGGTAAATTTTGAAGGGGTGGAATAAAAAATAACATTTTGGAAGTGTAATTCAAGGGTAGTAAAAATATAATCAGGAAATATTTAAGATTTTTTTTATTTCTCCCTTTTTTTCCCCCTTAAAGCATGGGGTAATAACATTTTCCACATTTTTTGAAACCTTGAAGGTGGTATTTTTGTAAAATGGGGCTGTGTTCATTTCAGTTACTCTTTTAAGTGCAGAGTATAGGACTCTACAGTGCTGGAGTCCTTTTATGGCTTCTGGCTAGCTAGTGGGTGGACTTCAAATACTTAGTTTTGATGAAAAATTCTTAAATGGTCTGAGATTTACCTACCCAACAGAAAATGTGAAGCTTCCCACAATGGCTGTGAGAGAAGGACCCAGAATTAAAATACACCTAATACTTAACTATGAATAGGGCTAGTCCT